ATATAAAAAATTTTAATATAAAAAAAAATATAATCCAGTACTTAATGTTAATGACTTACTGACTATTTTTTTTTGCAAAATGTGCTTAGAACACTATGACTTGGGTTCTATACCCAAGTCCCCCTTTCCCCCTTCCCTGAAAATTTTCCCACTGTTCGAAAAAAAAAAATCAAGAACAAAATATAATTTTAAAATATATTAATATCTAAATTAGTAGAAATATAATAAAACGTACTAATTATGAATAAGTTCTTGTACTCTTTTACAATTATAAATATTAAAAAAATTAAAAAATTATTCTTAATTATATCACTAAAAGCACTAAACATAATAAAAAATGATATCAAGTTTTAAGAACAGTGTAAGTACTTCTTAACTTCTTAAAGAATAAAACTAATTTTTTTTCTTAATGCACCAATAATTCAATCCAAACTTCTAAATCTTGTTAAAAACAAATAAAATTTAACATGAATATTATTAAAATTGATTAGAAGCATTTATAATCAAAATTTAAAACTCTTCAACTAAACATTCAAAAATAGTAGAATATCAAGACTAGTTCTATTATGTAGTTTTAAGATTTTTATAATAATATTTTTTAAAATTTAGCTAAGAAAATCAAAATATCATTTTAGAAAAAAATTATAAATTTAAGATTTTAAGAGTAGAGTTGCAAATCAATTTTGAAAGATAGAATTACTGGTAAATTAAAATTTAGAATTATGATTAGAATGCACAATTAAGAAGAAAAAATAAATTAGGGAATATGAAAATATTCTATTTTTATTTTTTTTAATTAAATTAAGAGAGTTATAATCTTGTAAACAAAAAAACTATTATTTTATTTAATTAAATTATTTTGTAATCAAGTTTTCTTTTATAATCAGACGATTCAAGTAGTTTAAAGATAAAACTATAAATCGAACCAATTATATCGGTTCTAAAATATTATAATTTAAATTAACCCAATTTTATGTAGATTTGGTTTGGATTTTTATTGGATTAGGTCAATTTCAATTGGATCAATCATATTAGTTCAAATATTTACACCCTACATTCGATGATGTTTCTTCTTTTCTTTTCTTTTTTTTTATACAATTTTCTAAATTAATTGCATTTTTTTAATATTAATTAATATTAAAAAATAATTTTTATTTAAGTATTTGTCTAATTAAAATAATTTATATAACATTAGTGATAAAATTAATAATAATTTTTATAATTTTTATATTTTAATATTAATTACCGTAAAAAAGTATAATAATTTTACCCTTAACTTATACATTTGAACTACAAATTAAAAAAATACCACCATCATACAGATGATTTTAATTAGTTAATTAATAAATTTAAAATTAATTCTTATTTTTATATAAATTAATTTTAAAAAAATGTAACTAACACCATTAATATGTATTCTTAGAGGGTATAGGTTAAAAATCTTTTTAATTTTTTTCTTTTTTGTAATAATAGTGTCTCTCTTGTTTAAACTTGACAGGGAAGTCGGATCATCTAAATTCAGTTAGGTCATTTTAAGTCTCGAGTTTATCGAATTAGGCACTTGGATATTGTGACTGTGAGGTTTGGAAATTGAAGCCAGCACATGGCTGGAAATGGTGCACATTTTTTCCAATTTCTCTGGGATATTAAAATCATAGGCTTTGGCATATTGGATCAAGCAATCAATCTCAACAAACTATTTCCTGTAGTCATTTACAGGGAATTAAAACAATCTATGTACCAATAATGTTAAAATAAATGTCAATTTTTATATTTTTATGTAAATTAATTAAATTAAAAACTTACTTTAGTCCTTCTACTTTAACAAAAAAATCCATTTTTAGTTTCTCTACTTTAAAAAGTCCATTTTTAGTCTCTTTATTTAAAAAAAAAAAATCCTTTTTTAGTCCTTGAAATTTATTTTCTTACCCCTTTTAATTCCTTCATTATCTTTTTGCATATATGACACTTTAAATGTGTCACGCCCCAAAACCCAAATCCGAGGGCATAACAGATGCTGTACACTTGTGAGAGGGTCCCACAAATGCACAAGGCTCGGAACTTTTCATGCCACAATCTGATACCACAAAATCTAAAGATAAAATTTTTAAGATTTGCCTTTATATCATAAAATCTCCAAATAAAGTCTAGTTTACAAGATCATGATTTATATCTAAAGTCCATGTTCAATTTACAAGATGACTAATCTTCTAACTCGTCACTCCCCTCGTTTTTCCCCATCCTTGACTTCGCTTCCTAAAATGGTGGACAAAGAAAAACTATGAGATAACTCAATAAGTAAATATGAATAGCCCTTGGGTAAAATTTTTTAGCATGCCTGATAAACAGTTTAACATAACAAAACATTCAATGATAAACCATTAATACAATATTAGATTCAGTTCAATAACAAAGCGTTCAATGACAAACCGTTAATGCAAAAGAAAATTTAATAGTAGCTCATTTATAAGTCATGCCCAGTGTTTAACAAACTTCCACTGGCAGGCGTTGGTAATAACCAGTGTTTAACAACTCCCACTGGCAAGCGTAAGTAATAACTAGTGTTTAACAAACTCCCACTAGCAGGCGTCAATAATTACCAATGTTTTATCCCATTGGCAGGATTACAGAATAAACCGGTCAGATTAGTAAACATGTCGACATGTGCTAGTGTAACTAGTGTTTGCAAACTCCCACTAATGGGCGTCAATAATCATGACTATATCAAAGACAAAACCATGCAGGATTTACAGAAAAATCCGTAATTCACAATCAATCTCAAATTTCAGAAATAAACCGAAAAATTTCCATGTGAGCATGGATTTAACAGAAAAACTCAAAATTTACAAAATTCTCAGTTCATCAAGGCAGTTCAGTCAATTCCAAGTAGGCATGCTTTACTCAATGCAAATGAAAACAATTTCATTTCAAACCAATCATGCTTGATGCTAATAAAAATCAATTTAAACCTTGCCACAATCTCAAAAAAACAATTTAAAATATGCTTTGAAATTAAAAGGCGTTACCATAATTTACTTACCTCAAATCCGTAATACCGGAAACTCAAGCCAAGTGCTCGAGTGACAGAATACTCAAGAACCTAATCAAAATACCCCAGAATTAATACCGTACTACCACAAATTCAAAGTGAAACTTCATTAGGATCACCCCCTAATCAAGATGCTATTTATATTAACCTCCACACGACCAGACACCTCTAATTTCATTCTTATTAGAAACTAAACATTCAAACCTTCCTATCATGGGCCATTAGTGCGTGAATAGTAATCTATGAACAGTATAATGAACAGCACCTGGGAACAGTAATCATGCAGTGAACAGTAACTGCAACTTCCAAAAATTTGGCAAAACAATAGCTAATTCACGGGATTTTTCCATATAAACCTCATAGTAGCTAAATCAAGAGATTTCTACATGAATTAAACTAAAAACACAACTTGAAGCGCTACCAATTTCTTCTATATTTCGACAAAAATTGAACGGTACAGGGGCAGCAATCACATGGATTAAAAATCTAGACTGGGAGAGCTGTTACCTGCCCGAATTTTCGGCAACAAACCGGGTCTGGAGAGCTTGATAGTCGGCGGGAGTTGGAGGGGAAGCTCACGGGGCTACCAAAATTTGAAGAAACAACAGATTTAACATGAACCCAAGCTAAACCAAGCTGAAAAGATGAAGTTCATGGCTGTGGCTTACCGGAAAAAGCCCAGAAATTCGTACCTAGCAGCACCAGCGGATAGGGGAGGAAGAGCAGAGCAGATCTGGAATTTCTGGGTTGAGAGAGAGAGTTCTAAGTCCTAAAGCTTGTTATTGAGCAAGAAAAGAAAGGAGAAATCACCAAGCTTTACCGGTTTTCTCAAGGGATGGGTGCTGTCGGGCTTGGGTCTCTTTGCTCAGCTGCAGGGGAGAAAAAGAAGAGCGGAATCGCGTGGATAAGGAAGAAGAAAGAAGGAAAAAAAATAGCTGATCCTTATCTAAATTTTTTTTCTTTTAAGTCCCTAAAGTTTCACAATTTTCACTATTAGACCCCAAACAATATTTTTTTTCAAAATAAATCCCTAACTTATACGATAAAATTCTTGAAAATTTGGGATATTACAAAATGACAGAAATTTTAAAGAAAAGGACTAAAAAGGGATAAAAAGAGCCCTTTTTGGTCCATTTATTTTAAAATTTTCGTTATCAACATGTCATATGTGCAACAAGCAAATAGAGAAACTAGAAAGGAGCTAAATAATAAACTTTAAGGACTAAAAAGGAGTTTTCTTAAGTAAAATGACTAAAATGGAGCTTTTTATTAAAATAAATGAATCAAAATGAGGTTTCAACTAGTTAATTATTATACATTTATTACACTCCTAACCTTATCATTAAGGTAAAAGTTAAATATTTAATAACTTTGAAAAACTAAAAGTGTGACAAGTAATAAATAAAGATACCCCTCTATAATAAATGGGATAACTAAAAGTGGATGGACTTAGTATTTTGCTTATTCATTTCTAAACTATTTTTAGTTATTTTGCAATTGCACACTAGTTTATTTTATAGGGAAAATTCTTTTATACTAAGTCCATTAGACTTTTTCATCAAATTATATGCAAATTGAATTTTATGTTGGCAAAACCCTATGTTAAACCTCCAAACTTACTCTAGATTCTTGATTAAATCCTTAAACTTTTTTTAAAGCAAATTAACTCCTAAACTTTGAAATTTGGACAATTGAACCCCTCTACTTTATGAAAAACTTAATGCCCATTTGCGCATTATTTACAAGAACAAAGTATTGACATGTCATTACTTAGATAACAAGTATTAATCTTGTCTACAAAAGTAAAACACAAATGGGCGTTAAGTCTAGTATTAAGCAAAGGGTTAAATCACTCAACTTAACAAGTTTAAAGGCTTATTTGCTTTAATAAAAGTCTAAGGGTTTAATCAAGAATTTGGAGAAGTTTAGAGGCTTAATGTAGGATTTTATCTTTTAAGTTTCATATAAATGAAAATGGTCCACCTAAATTCTTTGCAAATGTTAAGATTTTTTAGCGGGTTCATAATACCCTTCCTTTTTGGCTAATAATAAAAATATATGTTAAGTATTCTAAACTTTAAGTAAGTAAATATTATTTTTTTTTTAAAAGGAAAAATTTAACCTAACTCTCCGATTACTCTTTTTATTACATTGGTCAATTATTTTTATTTTAATATCTAAACATAATTCAAAAA